CACACACACACACACACACACACACACACACACACACACGCACACACACACACACACACACACGCACACACACACACACACACACGCACACACACACACAGAGGACAACTGAGTACTTCCCATAATGAGCAGTTGGAGATGAGCTACCTCTCCTGTCAGTGATAAATCCTCATGCTCGTACCTTTCCTTTAAATCGTGGGAAACAATCGATTGTATCTGTCCTGGGTTTGTTTGGTATTGGCTTCGCGAAAAACCCATGTTCAAGTCTCCAAGGCCATCCCAGTTCCAAGCATCTGCTTGTCCTGCAAAATCCGACACAAAAGGAGGAAAAACAACCACTGCTGCTAAGTTTCGCAAGGCATCACAAAGATGCAGATCACACAAACGTTACACAAGCAATCAAAATATTTGTCAAACCATGGTTACGGCATACACCAGCATTGATTGCTTCCCATTCCAGGATTGACTGTCAGCTTGTCATTCTCTTCAACCAGTCCCTCTGATGGATACCCGAATTCTCTGTGTCGGATTTGCACGTTACAGCTGGGGCATAGAAGAGTCTGTCTTACTCTAAGAACTAGAATTGCAATTAATTGCTGAGCAGTCGGACCGGACTAGCATTTGGGGCAACTGTAGTCGTTGCTGTGCAATAGCTACTAGGCACTGATGTCACTTTTGGGATTTTGGTTTCTTCAAAAACGAAAAAAAGAACAATGAGCCTGGCTGTATGGCCAGGATGCACTCATGACAGGTCGAGGACCATCAGTCTGGCTTGGGGGAGGGGGAGGGGAGGGGGGGGGGGGGGATGTTATGGGGGGTGCGGGGGGGGCTTGGGGGATATTAGGGGAGCGTTGGGCAGTCGTTGGGGTTATGGACCTCGCAAACCTTTTTTTTTTTTTTTTTTTGCAGGGTGCTGGGCACTGCTGACCAGCCGCCGACCGGTAGGTGCCAACAGGTGGAACGGTCGGCTGGTCGTTAGCCGACCAGTCCAGGGGCGCCAACCGTCGGCGTGACACTCTGCTGTGGGGACTCTTGAGAGCCAAAGTTGCATTTCCTACAATCTGGTGAGAAACTACTGATTGTGCAGACAAGGCATTTTTAGTTTTTCTTTCTTTTTTCTTTCCCAATTGCTTTTCAATGTACACATAGGCACTGGATTTGATTACCTCTCCACATAACCACCAGATCCATTGAACCACACAAACTGTCAGTGGTGGGACAACGTCGCTGTGCGCACACCATAGCCACAGAGGCACGATTCAGATCCTGTCCTGCTGCTAGGGGAACCACACCCCAGGACGCAGAATCGGCACACGCACTACCGCATCAATTCAGTTACTTTTAACATTGATTGGGCAGCTGAGAATGCAAAGTGAAAACATTACACAAGCCCACACAAAACTTTCTGCCATTCTTGTCAGGGGTTCAGAAGGACAATCAGGTAGGATCGCAGGGTTGGTGTGAGCAAAGTCCACATCTTTTCTAAGGGGTACTGCTAATTCTGGTTGATCCCGCATCTATCAGCCAGATCCATCCTGCACAGACAGTCCAGGTGCAGCCTCCTGATGAGTCTGTGAAAGTCCAACAAAACAATATGGCACAGTCATGCCTTTTTTTGAAGTTGTGTAAAGCGAACATGACAACATACACAACAGCTGGAAAAGACGATAAAACAAAGTGAAACGGAAAACAAATCAGATACCAAAATTAACGTACCAAAAGAACTCGTTCAGGTCGTCATATGTCCTCCAAGTTCTGTATGGGGCTTTTCCCTTCTGGCTGTTTTCAGCTTCCTGGCATGCACACAGTCCCACACACCACAATACATTATCCACATGTTGTGAGATGACTTTGTTTTTTCCTTCCTCGGGAATCCTCACCCGGATTCCAATGAAAGAGGAAAAACAAATCCTTCAGAAAGGTCTCCAATTCTTCGAACTCCACAACGCAGGAGTCAGATCTGCAGCTCCTAGGATTTGCCATCATTGAAAACTCAGAGGCAAAGAAAGAAAGAAAGAAAGAAAGAAAGAAAGCGGCAAGCCACTTATGCTCCGTGAGGTTTCAGTAAGCTAGAGCAATCAATGAATTCAATCCCACCGGGCCATCGTCAATTTTCAATTCCGAAAGTCGAGCAAAATAGTACATGCCCTCATGATGACTGCATTCTATACTCCATCTAATGATGCTTCAGCATCTCAGTCATGTGCTCTAATGTTCCACTGCCTCGGATTTGTGACCCTCATGATGCCTGCATTCTAGATTCCATCTAATGATGCTTCAGCATCTCAGTCATTTGCTTTAATGTTCCACTGTCTTGAATTCGTCGAAGAAAAGCATCATGGCAATCTTGAGAGAAGTCTGAAATGATGCAAGCTCAAGTCCGCATGGCCCTTCTGGGCTGGGCTACACACGTGCTACAATGGCAATGCCATCTGAAAAAGCAGATTGAGCCTCTGCTAAAAATCCGGAGCCCATGGGCCGTCCATAAAATCAATCGGAGGTTCATGGCCTCCTATTTTTTAGGAGAGGCTCCATCTCGTTTTACGGATGTACTGATGGTTTAAGTCGGAGCGAATCCAGAAACACTGCCTCAGTTTGGATTGCTCTCTGCAACTCGAGAGCATGAACATGGAATCGCTAGCGACTGCGGATCAGCATGCCACGGTGAATACAGGAAAAGGAGACAAACCTCAACTGC